GTAGAGACTTCTACCAATCAGACAAGGAAGGAATTTGAAAGAATTTGTCTCTTTTTATAACGATGTTGGTGACATTGAGGCTTGAAGAGTAACTTTCTGAATCAGAACTATTTAGAAAGAAATTTAGTTAAAACTGTGCATTTGAAAACTTTGATAACTTTAAGAAGAGGGGAGGAAGGCCAGCCCCAATAATTTATCGTCCGAGTCACATTCTCCTCTTTTTTTCTCGTCCGAGCCACCTCGGAATCCTCGTCTTTCGATTATTCTGTGTTTTAAAGTCTCGAATTTTCGAAGATAGAACATATTTTTATCTGGCCACGTTAGGGCATAAGATATGCATTGAAAAAAGTAATGCAATGATTACATAACGTTGGAATCTTCAAATGATGTCAAACTTTATTTAGGTAAAACTTAAATCTCTTCTGCCTCTGTAATGGCAAACCTTCGCGATATAAATAAATAGCACAATATTTGGCATTACTCTGCCTATCATTTTCCCCATGGAACCACCCGGAAAAAATCGATGGTTTTCACTATAATTAACAAACAAGATTGAAGTTCCATAAACCTTGAATTCTTTGAGGCATTCTACACTAGGAAAATGTGAAAATGCGCGTAAAAAAGGTGAACATTTTTAAGGACATAGAACTTGAAAACATTTTTTTCCGATTTACAAAAATTCAATATTTCATTTATGCCCTAATGTGGCCCGATTCTTGAAAAATAGTTTTATCTGGGAGGATAAAACAATTATATTGGAAGGACGAGGATTTCGAGGTGGCTCGGACGAGAAATTGTTGGGGTTGGCCTTCCTCCCCTCGTCAGAATAACGACATTTTCGTTAGAAAAACTTTGCAGGGTACAGTTGAAAATCAGGCATTGATATCTTAGCATGAAAGGTTGCTTACAATCACGCTCACATCTCCCTTTAAATGCCTTGAATTACTTGGGAAAAGTGTTTATTACTCTGGTGTAAAACCAAAGATTGATTGGAAGCTGTTTACTAACAAGAATTTAAAAAATATATATTAGCAGTTTTTCTTTCCATCAATCAGTCGGACAACTAGGCTTTTTGTCAGTTTATGGTTTAATTTTCAACCCGAAATCCATCAATATGATTAGAGGCTAGGGGTGTGGGTGCAAACCAATACAGTTATATAGTTGTAATTTATAAACTGAAGGGGGGGGGGGGAAAGCATTTTTTAAATTTTTATTTTTATTTATATGCCAAAGGAATTGAGTCTTTGCCACAAACACTGATTTTTGAATCTTTATATCTTAACAACCCGACTGGACCAGATATCGTAGATTTTACGCAGACCCCGTCGAATGCGTTGATTTCGACGCTATCAAAATTTTAAAAAGGAATTTTTTTAAAATATGTTGAAACCCGATAAACCCAATGTTGTAGACCTTAGATATTTCAAATTATGACTTATGTTATATTAAACAATCAAAGTTTGAAATATCAAAGGTTTACATAACTGTTTGTAGATATATAGGTATTAGAAATATAGGATTTACTGCAAAGACTCAATTCCTTTAGTAAATATTTCTTCAAATTTTATGTTTAAATTAGCAAACTTTTTTCAAAGTTATAATTTATCGTAGCAAAATTTTGTTGGGGACCTCACATGAGCCCAGGGAAGGTTTATGAATGCTCAAAATTACAACAAATTGTGTTCCAAAGTTAATTTTTTTTTTAATTTTAAAAATGCAAGAAAAAAATGTCTTAATCCGCTAACTTTATTTGTTATTGTTTTATATTGTACAAAGAGAAGAAGCTCACAGATAGAGGAATAATTAAAAGTGGGCCTCTATAATTCTATAGAATTTTTCTCATATAAATATTTAAATGTATCACAATATATTATGATACATTTAAATATTTATATGAGAAAAGTACATGTGCAAATTTTTAACATTTGGCATACTTGCAATTAGCATAGATATGTATAAAGTTTGCGTGTTCTCACAATAAATAGTGTAAATTGAAATTATAATTATGCATGCATGACTTTTACATTCCTCTGATTATGAGAAAAATGCAGGAAGTCATAAAGATTTTGAATTTCAGTATCCATTGAAACAATAATCATAGCGTTCAATTTATCAATGGTGTTTTTTCTTCAAAATCACCCTGTGTCTTCCGATAGACAATACCTCGTTTTCTAAAACTTTTAAAGATTTTAAAAGGCCCCACTCAATTACTTTGAAAACTTTTGAAGTTTTTAGATTTTCAAAACTGTATTCTGAAAAAGGTTTTTGTCCTAAGAGAAAATACAAGGAAAAAACGAACCTAATCTTACAGAATTATATATTTTGATTATACTTTTATTTTAACTTCTTTTTCCGCCATATGTTGTGTGGTTGTCTTTGGGTGGGTATAGTTAAACCAACTGGTCGATTCTGATATTTGTATAATTATTGATTATTTTTTACACCCCTTCTCACAGAATTTTCTATGACCAGCCAGCAAAATAATAATTAAAATATTTAAATGTACAAAATAAAAAATCGGCGTAAGTAAAATAATGTATAAGTATATAACGAAGAAGATTGAAATAAGACGATACACCATGTTTTATAGTTTTGTTGTTTTTACGTCACACTAAAGTAAACTACTCGTAAGATTGAAATATTGAAATATTGAAGATTGAAATATAATGTTTTTAAATCTTATAGCTTGGAAAAGAACAAAGATGTTACGAATTTCAAATATGTCACTTATAGGCAGATTAGAGGAGTTACGAGGTCACAACGTTGAACCAGCAATGTCGCTACAGCTGCACAGCGCTTTGGCCGTCTTGCAGCATTCTATACCAAGTGATCGGCAAAAATAACTTTTTCAAGCTTTTAAAAGCAAGTATTATGAACTTGTGAAGGTTCTAACATTTAAAAGTTTTATTCTGTAAAAGTTTGATTTTTTTCAAGCTATACACAAATATTATCATTTGAAAAAATAAGGTGAACCTGGACCAAAACTAGTTTGTTTTAAAACAAAGTGGGAGTCTGACTGATTATCAATTGATTATGAAAATACTTGATGTTTGCATTTCACAAAAAGCAATTGAACACTATTCACAGTTTTAATAATATCACCGTTTAAACAAGTGCATTTCAGAACTATGTAATATTTTTACGATTAAATAGATTAAATATATTTAAATATATAGTTATCAGAATCCGGGACGGTGAACAGGATACAATCAAAGGAATTGAGTCTTTGCAACAAATCCCAATTTTCTAATACCTATATATCTAAAACCAAATTATGTAAACCTTTGATATTTCGAACTTTGATTGTTTGATATAACAGAAGTCATAGTTTGAAATATCTAAAGTCTACAACATTAAGATATAGGGATTTGAAAATCAGAGTTTGTGGCAAAGACTCAATTCCTTTAAGAAGAAGAAAAACGAGAAAACAAGAATAATCAAATTAGAATTTATAAAATTCAAAATTTTTAAATCATATAAATTGAATACTGAATAAAGTTGAACCGTCTGATGATATTTAGGTTGAGGTAAATTTCTTAGCTTTTACATTTTCTAATGTTTTCTAAATCTTATCTTTTGATCATTTGGTATTTTTATGTTCATTGTTGATCTTAAATTTTGATATTTCGTTTAACAAATTATTTAACCAATTTAAGATGTTTAGGAATACATTTTCTCACTTATACAACACTAACTCAAGTGCCCGGCGTTGCCCGTGGAATTTTTTTTTAAATAAATAAAAAATTTGGAAAAAAATGTTCGGATTTTTTTTAGCCCTCGGCCACCCAAGAGTGTCCACAAAAAATGTCAGCCCAATTTGTCCAGCTGTTTGGCCGGCTATAGGCAACATATATATATGTATATATATGTATGTCTTGTTTTATTATATAGATGATGCTGATATATTTCGGTACAAACTCTTCGTAATATTCGCTTTGTTGTTTAAGATATTGAAATATATTTATTTTTAAATTTAAAATGTTTGTTTCTTATTTTACTGGCTAATAAGCTTTCACTGAATTCGGACACAATTTCACACAAACTGCTAGTGTTCTGGCTTATCAATCAATTTGGTTAATTCACACTGATGCATTTTCACACAGTAAAACAAGAAGCGAATGCAATTTAATCAAACTGTTAGGTAAAAAAAAATCAGAAAATTTTCCGACTCATGGCAATTTCCTGTCACAAAATGTCAGTTTCTAGACTGCAAAGAGTCATTGAGAGCTAAAAAGTAGGAACATTTTTAGTTTGGTTTGACTAAATGTCTCAAACTATGGTTACACATTAATAACTCACTTATACTTTTTAGCCATAGACATAAACTTTTTAAACCTATCGGCTTTTGTTCAAAAGGAGAAACTGGCAAAATGCTCAAAGGTTTATTTACTGAGACCATGCATACTTGGATTACTGTGAATATGGAGGCATCCGCGAATTATATAATTAAACCATTCAAAATTGAGACTGTTCAGTCTTAGCTCAAAGTCAGATACTTCTTTTTTCATTGTATTTAAAGTTTTATCTAAGTAAAAACAAAAGCTGTATTAAAATGCTTTAAAACCTATAAATATGACAGATTTTCCAAAAATTTCCAAAGTTGGAGATATCTACAATCTATATTACTGGGTTTCAAAATGAAATGATTAAGAAAATTAGAGATTAAGGTAATTAATCAGTTTCCTTGTCTTAAAAGTAAGATTTTTTTATGTTTTTAAACTATTTTTGAATTTTTCTAATAAGCTTTCCCTAAATTCTAAATTAATAATTTTCTGAGGGGAAAATATATCAATTTTCCATATTCTGATTATGAAATCAATGTTGTGTGTATTCAGCCCCCCTGAAGGCTACGAGAGTTGAAATCTCTTATTTTCTCCCGCCATTAATTGCTCAAGTTGAAAGTCCAGTTAGAATTCCTTTCAATTTCTAGGTGGCGCGCCCCGCCTTCTGGTCAACCAATCACAACCACGCTAGCATAGTGCTCAGTTGGGGTCCGTCTCCCATACATGTAACACCATGGACGAGCACTATCCAGGACTGGAACTAAACAAGACGGGGTATGTGGACTGCAACTTTAACTGGACGAATATTGATCTAAGCCCGGATGAGCGTGTAGGAGTATACCAGGAGGAATCTGGTTACCACGAAGTTGCAGATATTTCACAAAATGAGATTTATCAGTTTGATGTCTCCTCTCACAACACAGTGTTTCCTAACACAACCTACAGCTATGAATCGAACCCTGTACCTGGTCAGGTGGAGTTGACCCCTCAGCTACCCCCGCCCGACTACCCCCTCCAATATACTCCAGGTCCTGCCGAGTATACGCCTCCTTCAAAAAAAGGCAAAGGAGGACGGAAAAAAAGTCTCCGACCTCCGTCCCCATCCATCCTCAAGCTCCGAAGAGAAGCGGCAAATGCGCGTGAGCGTAAACGAATGAATGGTCTAAACGATGCGTTTGAACGGTTGCGCGAAGTTGTTCCAAATTTAACAACAGAACAGAAAATGTCTAAAATTGAAACTCTACACATGGCTCAGACCTATATCAAGGCACTGGCAGGGCTGATAGATCGGGAGGAGAAAAGGGAGAGAGGAGAACCCTACCTGGAGTCAGAATCCTACTCTGCTCTCGAGCTTGGGACGAATTACTCCGATATTAAGGATGAATTAGAGGGTAGTGATCATTCAATACTCCCAGAGTAAAACCAATGATCAGAAAAGATCTTGTTTAAGAATCTTTTTTTCTTGATGGACCATCAAATTTTGTCCTTTCGTTCTGGTAAAGATAGGACGGTAGTTCTCTATATTTGTCCTGTAGGACCACTAGTCCAAGAAGTAAATAACAGACCAAATCTTTATTTACTTTTTCGATCAAATTTAACTCTATCTGTGATATTGTTTATATCGTATTTACATAATTTACATAACATTGTTATTTTGTGCAATATTTAGTGCAATAAATTTTTCAGCTATATTGTTTTACTTATTTGTTCTCAGAAAGTAGAATCAGAAATATCAAAGTAAACACTCGCCATACATTTTTAATTCCCTTTATCTTTGTAACCCGAAGGTGTAAACCTTTGACATTTGAAATGTTGACAGTATAATTCTAGTTTGAAATATTACATCAAATTGCAAAGTTTTTTTGGATTCGAAAATTAAATTTTGTGGCAAGTTTTTAGTTCCGTCAGATTTTCCCGATTTTATTAAAATTTCCATTTTGGCGAAAATATATTAAAATGACAAGCTAGGATATATGCATAATAGGGGTTTAAAAACATTTACACCCCAGCTAATTGGGCCAATCACTCCAACTGGGTCATTTAAAAAATACTTAATCTATAAAATAAAATGTTCTAAAAATCTAAAATTGAATATAATCCTTACTATATATATATTCCTTACTTCTCTTTTTAGTAAAATATGATTTTATACCGTGCAGTTAGAGTAGGAAGACCAACCCAAAAAATTTCTCGTCCACGCCACATACTCCTCATTTTCTCGTCCGAGCCACCTCGAAATCCTCGTCCTTTCAATATTATCTTTTTAAGTGTCTAATCCTCCAAGATAAAACAATTTTTAAAGAATCAGGCCACGTTAGGGCATGAATGAAATATCTAATTTTTGTAAATAAAAAAAAATTTCAATTGAAGTAAAGTTTTCAAGTTTATTGACTTTAAAAATGTAGATTTTTTTATACGCATTTTCAGATATTCCTGATGTAGTGCCGCAAAGAATTCCATGTATATGGAACTTTGAATCTTGTTTGTTAACTATAGTGAAACTACATGCCAAATATTTATTTTATATCGCGATGGTTCTAATTACAGAGGCAGAAGAGATTTAAGTTTTACCTATATAAATTTTGACATCATTCTCATGGGTTGAAGATTCCAGCATGGATGAAGTCATTGCATTACTTTACTCCATCCATATTTAACGTGGCCAGATTTTTAACAATAGTTTTATCTTTGAAAATTGGAATATTTTAAATAATCGAAGGACGAGGATTGCGGGGTGGCTCGGAAGAGAAAATGAGGAGAATGTGGCTCGGACGAGAAATTGTTGTGGGTGGTCTTTGAAGACGACAATCACAAATTACAATTTATTCATAACATTTTTATTCACTCATTTTTACAGTATTTTTTTCATTCCAAACTATAATATTTGTTAGACTATATAAGTCTTAAACCCTTAAGCCATATGGGAGAAATTCATGTTTTTTTCCTAAAGATCGAGGAATTTATTTTTGGCTTTTAAAATCCATCGTGAATTTTAAAAATTCTTGCAACCTTAGTTTGTTTACACAACAAATATATTTTTTTTTCTCGCGTGCTCTTGAATTGATTTTTTGGCTTTCATAAACGTTTTATTTAATTCTCTCAGCTATCGGTTGTAATGCCAAGAATGGCCTCCAGGTGCAAAAGAATTTTTATGCATTAAATCGATTGAGCATACGAGATCCTGGTCGTCACCTTTTTGAAAATGCACATGATTCATAGAATTAGAAATATTAGGTATCGAAGAGCTTAAATACTAAAATAATCCGATTCGGTAGAAATATTTTTAAGGAATTGAGTCTTTGCCATAAACTCTGATGTTCTAATTCCTATATCTTTAAAGCTTCAGTCGTAGACCTTGGATATTTCAAACCAAGAATTCTGTTAGATCAAATAATCTAAGTTTGAAATATTAGAGGTTTATTTCATCAGGTTGAAAAGATATTTGGATTAGAAAATTCGAGTCTGGGAAAAAGACTCAAGTCCTTTCGTGATTCTATATTTTTAATCATGGATATATAATAGAATGGATATATCATAGTCAAGGTTCGATGTAATTTTTTCGCTGGGGTGTTATGCAGTACGGTAGACAATTTGTTTTTTTGTTTTCGTAAACTTAATAGATGTCAAAGGAGTATAGAAAAACATATTGCAAGTCTTTAAAACTTGATAAGATTTAGCCTCCTTCTTTGTATTATAAAAATTATTGGAGTTACTATTTAAACAACCTTGCTTATATTTAATATGTTGAATTTTAAACAAAGGAACTGAGTTATTGCCGCTAACTAAAATTTTCTAATCCCTATATCTCTGCGACCAGAAGGTGTAACCCTTTAATATTTCAAACTTGGATTATTTGATCTAACATAATTCATAGTTTGAAATGTCTATGCCATTGGATTAAAAACATATAGGGATTAGAAAATCAGAGTTTATGGCAAAGACTCAAATCCTTTCTCAATATCTTGGTCAATTCTTAAGGTACAAAAACGGCAGACCACATTTTGGAATTCTGAAAACAAGCCGTCTTTGAAGAAAATGCTATGTTGACAAGATTTTAGCTACAGTATCTCATTTCGCTTACTTCTCTAATTTGGACTCTGAACATCACTTCAAACTTTTTTAAAAGTTCAAATCATTTTTATAGAATGAACAATAGCCAGAATACAAATTTGTCATAGTAAAACCTAAAATTTGCTATGCAGAGGTTTCCTAAAAATATCTAGGGTCCACTGAGATATAACAGCTGCGTAGCCCACCGACAAAGTTACATTTACACTTGCCCAGAATAGTATAGATCGGTAGATAGAAGCATACATATAAGCGGTCCGTGTTTTTAATATTTTAAGAGAAACCAAGCTGAATATGACGGATCATGTTGACAGTCAGTTTGAGTAGTTTTAGTAGAAGTAAATATTTCCATTTACTGATAGCGCCGATTGAAGGATTCATAACTCTAATTGGGTAATGAGATAGAAAGAAATATAGATGTTATTGGTTCAGAATAGACACCAAACACATAACTGAACCCTGATTGGATCAGGCACTAATGGACTCGGCATACAGGAGTGTGAGTTCAATCGAAATATGTAAGTTTTGCCGAAAAATACCTTTAAAGTGTAATTTTTTTGTTAATGTTATCCTGTTAATTACCTCGAATTAGATTAATTTCAAAGAACTGTGGTGAACCAAGTAATATAGATATTTTTCTTCAAAATAAATGATTTAGTTTATATAACTGATTGTTCATATTTCAGAAAACATTCTTAAATACGTAATAATACATTTTAAGGTTTTGTAAAAAACCAGAAATAAATTGCGTACAATAAATCTTTGTGCTTAAACAACCAGGCAGCACCAATAACGAGGTTTACAATCAATTAATCAATCAAAAAAATTATGATATGAAGTTTATGATCCTGAGAATTATAAGTAGAACTTAAAAACATGTAGATTTAACTCAGTTTTTGCCACAAGCTCAAATTTTCTAGTTTCTCTTCCTTTGCAACTTAATATTTCAAACATAGCCTGTTTGATATATTATAATTCATAGGTAGAAACATTAAAGTCTACAACAATGGGTTGCAAAGATACAAGAATTATATAATTAGAATTTGTCACAAAAACTCATTTCCTTTCAGTAAGCTAAGTATGTTTGGTTATACCGAGACACAAATCAGGAACCTAGGCTGATATTTAGGAGTAAGTAAAATGTGTTGTTATAGTTTTATTCCCCAAATATATGCATGAATTTAAATTTAAAATGAAAATTACGATAATTAACTTGATAAACTTTTTGTAACATTGTTTACTCTTCTTCTAGGAATCTGTATCAAAGTCTCCATAAATGATTCACAAATGCTTCTATGCAGTCCTTTATATTTTCTTATGTGTAATGAAGTATCATTTAGCTGTCTGACGACCATTTTCTGAACTATGAACATGTCTATAAACAAATCCACAACGGTGCCCTTAAGCAGGTTTGTCTGATCAAGTTTAAATTGCTATTTTTCAGAAGACAAACGACGAATCTTTCATACTGACAGATAGAGTTTTGGTAGTCGGAAATAGATAGAGTTTTGGTAGTCGGAAATAGATAGAGTTTTGGTAGTCGGAAATAGATAGAGTTTTGGTAGTCGGAAATAGATAGAGTTCTGGTAGTCGGAAATAGATAGAGTTTTGGTAGTCGGAAATAGATAGAGTTTTGGTAGTCGGAAATAGATAGAGTTTTGGTAGTCGGAAATAGATAGAGTTTTGGTAGTCGGAAATAGATAGAGTTTTGGTAGTCGGAAATAGATAGAGTTTTGGTAGTCGGAAATAGATAGAGTTTTGGTAGTCGGAAATAGATAGAGTTTTGGTAGTCGGAAATAGATAGAGTTTTGGTAGTCGGAAATAGATAGAGTTTTGGTAGTCGGAAATAGATAGAGTTTTGGTAGTCGGAAATAGATAGAGTTTTGGTAGTCGGAAATAGATAGAGTTTTGGTAGTCGGAAATAGATAGAGTTTTGGTAGTCGGAAATAGATAGAGTTTTGGTAGTCGGAAATAGATAGAGTTTTGGTAGTCGGAAATAGATAGAGTTTTGGTAGTCGGAAATAGATAGAGTTTTGGTAGTCGGAAATAGATAGAGTTTTGGTAGTCGGAAATAGATAGAGTTTTGGTAGTCGGAAATAGATAGAGTTTTGGTAGTCGGAAATAGATAGAGTTTTGGTAGTCGGAAATAGATAGAGTTTTGGTAGTCGGAAATAGATAGAGTTTTGGTAGTCGGAAATAGATAGAGTTTTGGTAGTCGGAAATAGATAGAGTTTTGGTAGTCGGAANCTGAATTGAAGGTTGAAAAGTGAAGTTGCTGGGAGGTTTGAAAAACTGCAACAAGAACAACAATGTACGCCTTAAAATGAAAAAAAAAATCTGAATTTTTGATAAACGGTAACACGCAACAGTTTTTTTTTATATTTTAGTCTTTAGTTTTGTACCTTTAGCATTTAAGTCTGATTTATCTAATAAATGTCATTCACACCTAGAGCACTGAGGATTATAATTTCAAGCATGAAAACTCTTAAATTACTATTTCTTAAAAGCCATGTTTTAGAGCGATTGTTTGAAAAATGAAAACGCGTTGAATAAAAAAAAAGATAAGGGGTTCACAAATTCTGCTCCAATCGGGGCCTATCT